GGACTGATTCTGGACTGATTCTGGACTGGTTCTGGACTGGTTCAGAGCAGAGATACCACAGCAGTATCAACACTGTGTATAGAGTGTATGAATAATGACCTGTGTAGCGCTATATACAAAACCGATGAATCACAAAGTCGTTGGTTTTCAAGATTCAAGAATTTATTTGACATTTGCAGTAAAACCACATTGGAAAAACTGTGCAAGACTACCCCAGTGTGCACCAGAGCACACACCAGACCTCTTGCCACGGCATGCCATGATTTTGACCATTGCCTTACATCTTACCCGCGCTGAGAAGCCGACACAGGTCTTAAAACACACCAACCTTTCCCACTGTTGACTTGGCTCGACTCGCCATTTCAACACATTTTGAGAAACACTAGGCCGCATCGGAAACAACCCAATCTATGATACGAATCGAGAGCTTTTCACAGTTTCACAGCCTTTTTTTGCAGATGGCACCACATAGCAATCTCTCCCATGTATTTGAGTCTATTTTTTCGGTGAAGCGTTCCGCGGCCGGGCTTTAAGTAGCCGCATTCTGCTCGCTGCCACTTCTGTCTCCACTCTCAGTCATACGGAGCAGATGCAAATTCCCGCCGAAGCCCTGGAGGGTGAAGGGAATATCTTCGGAGCTTACATATTAGAAAGTTTCCCCCGTTTGTGTCTTTTTTCCGTATCTCAGCCACTTCCCTGACAGTGGAACCCAAAGCGGTGACCATATAAACTCCCCCCTCCCTCCCACCCCACCCCACTCTCCCACTTCCTCTGCATCAAACGGAATATTCAATCCACGGCTCCTCTCGGCTCTCCGGCTCCGTCAGGTGGAAGAAAATCTCATCTATTTAAATCGAGGGCGTTATTTGCATGGCGTCCACTGCTCCCATTACGGCTGTGATTAAAACTCTCTCAGCGAGCGAGGCCAGAAGAGCGCGAGGAAGATTATGGCTTTGATTGGTCCAGATGACATTAGCCATGCGTGTAAGTAATAAGAGAAAGATATATATACTGTATATATGTGAACATTGGATAGGCATTTTAGATAATGAATGTTTGTGTAGCACCGTTAGAGGACGATGGGTAATATTTGTCATGGTGTGGGCTTTTTGTTGATTTATTTTTTACCTGGTTTCATTTTGATTTGGTTTGCTGTGGTTAAACTTTGACTTCCTGTTTTTCTGTCTTTTGACTTTCTGTTTCTTTCTGGTTGTTGGCCCCTCCCTGATCTGTCTCCCTGTGTGTATTTGAGGTCGGCAATAGATCATATACAAAGTCGGGACGAAGCGGAAGTAACAATCCTACAAGTCCTTGAGTGGTGACTGGTTAAGTTTTAGGCGTCTGAGAAAGATGGTTAAGGTTAGGGTTAAGGTGGATCTGAGTAAGATGGTTAAGGTTAGGGTTAAGGTGGGTCTGAGTAAGATGGTTAAGGTTAGGATTAATGTGGGTCTGAGTAAAATGGTTAAGGTTAGGATTAATGTGGGTCTGAGTAAGATGTTTAAGGTTAGGATTAATGTGGGTCTGAGTAAGATGTTTAAGGTTAGGGCTAAGGTGGATCTGAGTAAGATGGTTAAGGTGGATCTGAGTAAGATGGTTAAGTTAAAGGGTTAAGGTGGTCTGAGTAAGATTGTTAAGGTGGTCTGAGTAAGATGGTTAAGGTGGTCTGAGTAAGATGGTTAAGGTTAGGGTTAAGGTGGTCTGAGTGAGATTGTTAAGGTGGTCTGAGTAAGATGGTTAAGGTGGATCTGAGTAAGATGGTTAAGTTAAAGGGTTAAGGTGGTCTGAGTAAGATTGTTAAGGTGGTCTGAGTAAGATGGTTAAGGTGGTCTGAGTAAGATGGTTAAGGTGGATCTGAGTAAGATGGTTAAGTTAAAGGGTTAAGGTGGTCTGAGTAAGATTGTTAAGGTGGTCTGAGTAAGATGGTTAAGGTGGTCTGAGTAAGATGGTTAAGGTTAGGGTTAAGGTGGTCTGAGTGAGATTGTTAAGGTGGTCTGAGTAAGATGGTTAAGGTGGATCTGAGTAAGATGGTTAAGTTAAAGGGTTAAGGTGGTCTGAGTAAGATTGTTAAGGTGGTCTGAGTAAGATGGTTAAGGTGGTCTGAGTAAGATGGTTAAGGTTAGGGTTAAGGTGGTCTGAGTGAGATTTTTAAGGTTAGGGCTAAGGTGGATCTGAGTAAGATGGTTAAGTTAAAGGGTTAAGGTGGTCTGAGTAAGATGGTTAAGTTAAAGGGTTAAGGTGGATCTGAGTAAGATGGTTAAGGTTAGGGTTAAGGTGGATCTGAGTAAGATGTTTAAGGTTAGGGTCAAGGTGGGTCTGAGCAAGATGGTTAAGGTTAGGGTAAAGGTCGATCTGAGTAAGATGGTTAAGTTAAAGGGTTAAAGTGGTCTGAGTAAGATTGTTAAGGTTAGGGTTAAGGTGGATCAGAGTAAGATGTTTAAGGTTAGGGTTAAGGTGGTCTGAGTGAGATGTTTAAGGTTAGGGTTAAAGTGGTTCTCACCCCCGCTCCTCGGAGCTTACGTTACTCACATTTTCTGTTCAAATCTTCCTCTAAATGGGCGTAGCCTGGAGGACTAAAGGGGCGTGAATGAGACTGGGCCGTTTACATTGCTCTGGGCGGGGGGCTGCTGACGTCAGGTCCAACTTGCAGACGTCAGGTCCAACTTCTGTGCCAGTGTTGGAGCCAGATTCAAAATTCAAATGTAGTAATACAGGTCGCCAGCAGATGGCGCCTCACAGACGGTTTTAGGCAGAAAGTCTAACTTTCAACTAATTTGCACCAAAGTGACAAGATTATGACCAGGATATGTAGACAACACTATTGGACACTCATTTATACCGTTTATCAGCAAAAAAAAGTGGATTTGAGGGTGAGTTGTCCTTTAAGGTGGGTCTGCGTAAGATGGTTATGGTTAGAGTTAAGGTGGTCTGAGTAAGATGGTTAAGGTGGATCTGAGTAAGATGGTTAAGTTAAAGGGTTAGGGTGGTCTGAGTAAAATGGTTATGGTTAGGGTTAAAGTGGTCTGAGTAAGATGGTTAAGGTGGATCTGAGTAAGATGGTTAAGTTAAAGGGTTAAGGTGGTCTGAGTAAGATGGTTAAGTTAAAGGGTTAAGGTGGTCTGAGTAAGATGGTTAAGGTTAGGGTTAAGGTGGATCTGAGTAAGATGGTTAAGTTAAAGGGTTAAGGTGGGTCTGAGTAAGATGGTTAAGGTTAGGATTAAGGTTGGGTTGGGGTTATTTTATGGGAATGGCTGGTTAAGTTTAGGCATGGATCTATTAGTTTAGGTAATTGGTTAAATTTACTTCCGCTTCCGTCCCGATTCCATTTTTTTTGCTTTTAAGATTTAGATTAAGAGCTTCTTTATTTGTCCCACAGCGGAGAAATTTCAGTCTTGCATCAACAGTTACAGAAGAGTATGAGGAGCACACAGCACAAGATAAGTGAACAAAAATTATATTCTAAATAAACAAATAAACATGTCTAACTCTAGCATGAAGAAGAAACAAGTATAAAATCTCACCCTTTGGCATAATAAGGAGCAGGTATCAGATAGATAGATACTTTATTGATCCACATAGGAGAAATTCAGGACAAACATGAATAAAATTGGATGACTGTGTTTTCTAGTGCATGTAATAAATAGTTGAATAGTTCCCACCCCCCCATGTCTTGTTCCTGGTTTCAGTTTTTTACAGTTTTTTTTCCTGTGACACTTTAAAATTATGTTATTTTTGGAGTTTTGCTTTTGTCAGTCATGTCTGTGTTGTTGTGACAAGCTAACATCTGTGAGTTGGCGTCTTTGTTGCGATAAAATTGTCTTGTAAAATGCTTGATCTGTCGAACAAGTGAAACAACTGGAAACTGAAATATAGGTCTTATGGACCCGCCTGATTGTGTGTTATTTTTGACATTTATAATGGTGTATTAGGCATGTGTGTTCTCATAAAAGTAGATATACAATCGAAAAATCAGCTCTACACTGCGCTCCAATCAATCACCAGCAGATTTGTTTATTTCTCTTTTGTCCCACCTCATTGTATAAGAAAAAAACACCTTCCAAATATGAATGAACAAAACAAATAAGTAGAATAAGAAGTGGGCGAGTATTTCCTTTTGGATGCAGACTTAAGTCACGTCTCGGCTCCTCCGTGTTTGCACAGGCGTGACATAAGTGCATAGACTGAGCAGAAGGCCACACTTACAATGACAAGCGTGACGTGTGCAGAGCGACCAGCCGGAGGAAGGCCAGGCGCGGTCAGCTCTGAGACGGGGACGCCATCTTTTATTTACACTCTGACAGACGCACACACACACGCACATACACGCACACAGATACAGGCACACAAACACACACACAGGTACTCCACTATTGTCTATATGCAATGACTACTTTTAATACAACATAAAAACTTTGTCATCTGTTTGCTAAAATGAAATTGTTTACATATTTGGATGGCCAGACTTTACATTTCTGATCTCATCAAGCTGAATATTTGGTCTGTTTTGTCATATACATTATTTTCCATACAAAAAATTGTTGGGGAAAAACAAATGTTGTAAGGTGTGTGTGTGTGTGTGTGCATGTGTGTGTGCTGTGTGTGTATGTGTGTTCGTTATGGCAAAAATGAGTATGAGTGGATTTAAGAATATTATCAATAACTAATTAGCTTAGAGGGGCTGGTGCTATGAGACTTGGGTGGCATCTCTGATTGCCACCCCCCTGACCCAGAAATGGATTAAAGGGTAGAAAATGGATGGATGGACTAATTAGCTTTATACAGCGCTTTTCGGGACACTCAAAGACGATTCACATTCTTGGCCTTGTGTAGGAAAGGTGCTCTACAATAAAAGGTGATTGATTGATTGACTTTAAATATGAGAAAACTGAAGTCGTCTGAATCTGAGTGATTTGAGAGAATATATGTTTAGATGTTGTGACGTTTCTCTTTGTGCAAACTCTGCATCGATATGAACTCATTTGTCAAAGCAGACACTTCATTTGATGCTCTTCAGAGTCCAGCTGCAGAAACCTCCAGCTGCAGAGACCTCCAGCTGCAGAGACCTCCAGCTGCAAAAACCTCCAGCTGCAGAAACCTCCAGCTGCAGAGACCTCCAGCTGCAGAGACCTCCAGCTGCAGAGACCTCCAGCTGCAGAGACCTCCAGCTGCAGAAACCTCCAGCTGCAGAGACCTCCAGCTGCAGAGACCTCCATGCACTGCAGAGACCTCCAGCTGCAGAGACCTCCAGCTGCAGAGACCTCCAGCTGCAGAGACCTCCAGCTGCAGAAACCTCCAGCTGCAGAGACCTCCAGCTGCAGAGACCTCCAGCTGCAGAAACCTCCAGCTGCAGAAACCTCCAGCTGCAGAGACCTCCAGCTGCAGAGACCTCCAGCTGCAGAGACCTCCAGCTGCAGAGACCTCCAGCTGCAGAGACCTCCAGCCGGTCACTGCGGCAGCTTCAGCTTCCCTCTGTTTATCTGCCCACAGGCAACGTTTTGATGCTTTACTTAAAAATGTGGACAGTGTTTAGTCCTGTGGCAAAACTCTGACTAAACCCAGCCAGACTTTTTTACCTTTTTACATCTTTAGTGACATCTCATTATGTCTTTTTGATGTCTCCAGGCCGTCACAGCCTATCTCCGCCGTTCAAACAAATGGGCCAAAAATTTAGCTCTACTGGAGCTATCCAAAATGGCCGCGTGTGGTCCCGCCCACAAGAAAATTGTGAAAAAACGCATCTTTGCATGCGTCAGCCGGCGCAACTCCATTCATTTGAACGAGAGACTTCAAAAATTCACTAAACGACTAAACTAGACTGGTCCAAAAAAATTCACCCCCCTCAGCATTGACACACATGTGGAACGGAGCTTTGGGCCAAGAGCCAACTTTTGGTCCATCCTGTAAAGACGTTTTCGAGAGGTAAGAAGATGCTATATGTTAGAATTGGCTAATTCTTATTCCGGGTCCACCCCCATCGGCCCGGGGTGGTATTGCAAGCATGTCAGCGCACGTCATTTTGACCCGCCCCCACTGGTTGTAACTCACATACAGAGCAGAATAATCAGATTCTTGATTTACAGGACCCACATATTATTAAGAGTAGGCAAGGCAAGTTTATTGGTATAGCACAGCTTATACACAAGGAAACTCAAAGTGTTGAACAAAATAAGATAGAAACAATCACAGGCATTAAAACCACAGCGTAAAGAGAAAAAATCAATTTTAACCACAGCTAAAAATAACTGTTTTTAACGTGGATTTGAACACTATCAGAGAAGAAGCCTGTATCACATTTTCAGGAAGACTGCTCCAGATTTTAGCTGCATAAATCTGAAATGCTGTCTCCCCATGTTTAGTCCCATACTCTGGACACCAGCAGGAGGCCAGTCCATGTGCTCCTCAGAGTCTGAGTTGCTTCATATGGCTCTAACATGTCACGGATGTACTTTGGTGCAAGGCTTTGGAGAGAGCTGAAAGCCTTATTTGTGATTGGTCGACCATTTTCTCTGACTGGAAGTACCGCTTTCACATTTGTCATATAATAGAGAGTCTGGGTCAGGCTAGTATTTATTTTATTTTTATTTTTTGCTATTTGTCAAATAAAACTTCAATTTTGCCCACAATTGTAAACCGCTTTGTGACTGGTCTGTGAAAGGCGGAATATAAATGAAGATTACTTACATACTTACTGACATTTTCACTTTTTTCCGAGGGGCTCCATGAGTGTTCTTAATCTGGCTCCATCTCAAAACGTGTATATAAGAAACCGCCTCCCCTGCCTGGGTGCATTATGTAAAGAAGTCGTCTCACCTCCTACAGTTTGACACGCTAGTTTGAAAGTCATGTCCCTGCCACACTCGCACACGCGTCCTAAAATAACACCCACAGAAGCGAGTGACACGTTCTCGCTCTTTCAAACTCAACCACGTCAGATTCTGTGCAACGTTTTGAACTTTTCCCCCTCCTTTTTTCCCTCCCATCCCGCTACGTTAGCAATATATATTTTTTGACTTTTATGATATCCTGCATCGAACTATGTGTCCGCGCTCGCTGCCCGCCTCCGCTCGAACAATGAAAGCCCAAAAAAACATAAAAGCGCTGCTCCGACCGTGCTTTATAAATATTGCAGCATATAAACATGTTTGTTCAATTTGCAATTTTTTCCCTTTTGTCTGACAGGTCCGTCGACAAACGGCTGGGTGGTTTCCATTCACATAAATAAAATATAACAAAGAATAACGCGTGCCGCTTTCAGAAAAAGTTTAATCCATGCCATGCTGGACTACAGAAGAGACAATACAGAGAGGGCTTTGATTCCAGCTGGAGAGACGGCGAAAGAAACAGATGGATGCCGCTTTCTTCACGCTATATATAAACTTCAAAGAGGCGTAATATCATGGAAATAAAATGCAGAGTTTGAGAATTTTACTTTTTTTTCCCTTCTTGGTGCGGAATGGTTACATTTGAAAGCGTTACAAAAAGCCTGACAAATGATTATGGGCAGGAGAGCGGACATGAGAAGGTTTTGCTTTGAGTGAGTTTGTGCAGATGGGCGGCAGAGTGGTTAGCTTTGAGAGCTTTGAGGGCTTCATTTATGGGAGACGGGCAGATTTGGCATGTTCTCAGATCAATGAGAGACGAGGACTATTGAATCACTTTGAGAGGAAATTAGAGTGAGGCAATTGACATTGGCATTTTAAAAATATTAATAATAATTATGCATCTGGGGCGACAGTGGCTCAGTTGGCAGAGCATTGGCTTTTGGGCCTGAAGGTTGTGGGTTCGAGCCTACCACAAGCCACACTTCACGACTCCCACTGGTGACTGCTGTCGTTGTGTCCTTGGACAAGACACTTGACCCCACTTTGCCTGAAGCCCCCACTGAAAGATTTCAGCTCCTGTGGACTCACCACCTGCAGGAGGATCAGTGGGGGGCTGGTGCTCTGTGTACTGGGGGCAGATCTGACTGCCACCCTCGATCCAGAAATGAATTAAGGGGAAGAAAATGGAATTATGCATCAGTTTTATAAAGCGCTTTTTTGGACACTTCACATCTTTTTTTTCGGTCATTCACTCCATTCATTCATTCATTCATTTCCATCCCATCACTTCATACACAGTGGTGATAAACTACTATAGTAGCCACAGCTGCCCTGGGACATACTGACAGAAGCGAGGCAACCAGTATGTGCCATCGGCCCCTCTGACCACCACCAACCGTTCACACACACACACCAGACTCACTCTAGATCTAGGCAATGTGGGTGAAGTGTCTTCCCTAAGGTCACTACAACCGTTTGGCACTTTACAGTCACACTGTGGCACATTTATTTGATTTGTGTTTTTGATAGGGACATTGTGCATTGATGAAAATTTCTGTAAATGCACCAGAATTAATCAAGTAGGCTATATTTCCTGTGCAGATCTCCCATCATAGTACTAACCAGACCCTGCCCTGCTTAGCCTCAGAGGTCTGATGGGATCTGGCTTTCACAAGTAGCTATGGACAAATGTTAATAATGTGTTTGTCCTCATTGCTACTGCTACATATGTCTTAAATTGAACAACTCGAACTTTACAACTTTTTTTTAAGCCATGTAAACTGACATAGAAATACAGAGGGAGGTAAATAAATAATAATACATTGAATTGAATTGAATTAAAGCTATTATTATTTTTGGATTATCTGATACTTCAATCTCACATGAAGGACTCTCATACGTGACAAATATTACGTCAATTACTGTCACACCAGTACTTCTAGAGTAGTCAATTTGACGGATTTTAGTTTTGGAAGTGTCATTACACAGCCTATGTAAATTTTTAGTTTCCATAACAGAAAAAGGCGCTCTACAAATACAGATTGATTGAGAATATATCTGGCGGAAAAACTAAACCTTTTTTGAGGTAATTTCTCAGAAAGTCCTTGGTTAGAATGGGAGTTCTGGGTTCAATAGAAGTGAATGCATATTTTTCCCCTTTCACCTCCGCCCTAACGTCTGGATGTTGGCTTGAATCGTCACAGCAGAACCACACTTATTCCACGCTCCTTCCACAGTGTGCGGACGAGAGAGAGGAGCTGGAGGCATCAGTGTTATGTGGAAACTGATACATGATATTGGCGGAAGATGAAGGCCTAGGGACAGACAGGAACTCAAAGACCTTCTGTGTTGAGTTTCCACTTATTACAACATCCGATATGTTTCTGGGAGTGCGATGGTTTTTATGGCGCCCTCCAGCAGCAAGAGGAAGAAGCGATATTCTCATATTCACAAATGTGTAAAAAATGTGCCTCGAGTATACAAGACCTTCTACTTTCTGTTGGAGAGCCAGACTCAAGAAATGAAGTTACAAGTTTGGACTGAATACGTTCACCTGTCAGCCCAAGGAGTAAGAACAGATATTTGTTTCCACATTGGGATGAAAAATGTCATATATTTACATATTTACCAAATATCACAGTTGATAGATGGATAGATACAGACAGACAGACAGACAGACAGACTGTCTGATAGATAGATAGATAGATAGATAGATAGATAGATAGATAGAGAGAGAGACAGCTAGAGAGATAGATAGATAGCTAGAGGGATTGATACTTTCCCCATTGGGACTAAAACATTGAAAAACATACAGTATGTACCAAATCTGAGTTCAATAGATTAGAAAACTGCTCCAGCTATGACTAGGTTTTAAAAAACTACTAATGATTCAAAAAGTGTTTTTCAGAATCATTTTTATTGCCATGTAAGTAACAGGAAGTCACAGACAATGAATGTTTTATTGCAGAAGTTTACAGAAGGACATAGCAGGCAAATCTAACAGATTCTCTACATGTTTTAAAGTTTGTAATTTCTAAAACAAAGTGCAGAAAGCAGGAACAATTGTTCACGGCTGTAAGTAATAATCAGTGTTGGGGAGAACTTTTCAAATGTATTTATTTACAGAAAACTATATTCACATGTATTTGGTCCAATCACAGGACTCTATTTGAATATTTTCTCTCCTGTTTTTAAACAAGTGTAAAAATGCAATTACACTTTGTTGTTGCCTAGTTTATTCATTTTTCTTATTGTGGGTTTAACAAGGACTAAAACACATCCACACGCACCACTAAAAGCTACGTTTGCCAATATCATCTATACTTTCCCGAATCCATTTTTTAGGCTTTTGGAAAATAACTGTACTCTGAATGTTTTCCCACTACATGTATTACTCCCCAACACTGTTTGAAAGCAGATATTTGTATCTTAATTCTTTCCTTTCTTGATTATGATGTGTGAAATGGTCGTTCCTTTCTTGTCTAGACTCCACATCCATCCAGGAAGTGGCTCAGATCTCTGTTACAGCGTGTCACCCAGCCCACCCTGAAACAACACAAACACAAAACACTATTTCTGTGGCAGAGTGGTCAGCCTGTCTTTAATACAAAAATTATGTAATGAATGTAATGTAGTAACCCAAACATTTAAAATGTGCATATGACCAGTTAGACTTGACTTTTCACAAAATAATACTGACATGATTATTTTTAAGAATTTGTTAATGATATATATGACAAGATTTTCCAATATGAAATATGGAATGAAGTAAAGTTTGAGCATATTTTCATCTTATAATTTGAATTATCTGTACAAAACTCAAATGAGAGTGTCACAAGTTGAATGCAACAAAAATCCAAACTAAACACAGACAGAGATAATACAGGACAGACGTTGACAATACAATGGACCAGCAACAAAGAGAGTGAAGCACATGGTACATATAGACACGGAGACACACATGAAACACATCAGGGCGGGGCCATAATAGATCCATGGGCGGGGCAGACAATCCACAGGGAACAAGACAGTAAGTCAAACTGAAATGAAATCAGAGACCTAACGAATATCAAAATAAAACCAAATACAGAAATTAAATCCAAAACATGACACGGAGAATATAAATATATATTTAACAAACTATATGAACACAAACATTTCACTGAGCTGCCACGGATAGAGGAAAAGACTTACACGTTTACACCACCTCTGCTGCTGTGACCGAATGTGCTGTTGCATCTTAATAGTTGTTAGCTACTTTTAGGATGATGTTTTTATTTGTTTTGTGTGTTTGGGTGCATGTGTTTCTGCTGCAATAAAGTATCTATTTATCTTTAAGCTCGATCTTTTGTCGATGGTTTGGTCACATGACTCACCAGGCCCGGATGCCGTTTGGGTCCCTCACGACACGTTTGGCACATGAGATGGCAACACCCGGTTTGAAAAGTTCTGAGACAGTAGAAAAAATATGTATTAAATCTCAATATATATCACATTCATTTTAAACTTGTTGCAAGACGTAGTCCTGGGCTTCCTCCAGTGACGTCTGTCTAAAACACCAGGGACACATCCAGGAGCTTTTAGATGGCTCTCTTGAAGTGAAAGAACAGCAACTCTACCCAGAGCTCCTCCCCAGTGACTGAGCTCATCACCCCTAATCTTATACTGTAGTTTTTCTCAGTCACTTGCATTTCTCACATCATTCTTCCCATTTGCACAACAGTTAGTGCATTTCTCAGAACAATTGCAAACTGCAAAACCTTGTGGAAAACCTGCAAAAGTGCATCACTTTCTCAAAATAAAAGTTATTTCCTCAAAAGCATGTCTTCATGTCAATGAAACTGACTGTGTTGTCACAATAATAAGTCCTGAGACCATTGTGTATGAACAACAGTCAAATGGATTAATCATGTTTTCATTGTGACAGTTCACTCTCTGTGTTTTCAATGCAAAAAAGTCAGACACTTGATGAGCACAAACACGACCTGTACAGCCAAATACTACAGAAAAGTTACACATGATTATTGATGTATTTAGTGAGTGTGGTAAACAGTGACCTATGTACTGCACAGGTGGACAAATGCAAGACAAAATAGTATTAATAACCTGGCCTTGTGGAGGTCTCAAGGACCACAGAGACTTTCGTTGTTTAGGCTATTTGGTGCCGAAGGTTTGGCCTTTTCTATGATGACGTAGATTTCCATATATACAGTAATGTATCTGTGTCTTTTGTTCTGCCTGAAATTAACGACCATTTTGTGAATAAACCAGCCAGGGGGCTTTGTCGTACAAAGATCCCGTTTTGCCTGAGTCTGATTCCTATCAGGTGGTGGAGGAATGCGGTGTTGAATGCGACTCTGCCCTGGCTGTTGTGAGAAAGTTTTTTTCAGCGTGAGAGAGCTGAGAGCATCTGGAGTTGGGTGCTATCCAGCAAGCTGGAGAGGTGACGATTCCGGGGCTTTTTTGCTCTCTCACTATTTTTTTTTTGTGTGTCCTCTTTTTTGGACTGACAAAGCGTTTAAATTTGTTTTTCCATGTCCGTACTCCAGGGATTTCTGACGGGTGATTGGTCTCTGCCGATGGAAGTTAGTTCCCGGTACTAGTGAGCGCTGGTTCATGATCTGGAGACCCCGGTTGGACGTGGAAAAGCTGATATTTGGTGGACTTTTGACTGTGCCTGGGCCCTGTTCGACAAAAGGTAAGAGCGGACACCTGTTTATTCAAGGTCTGCTAATTTAGTGAACTAAATTATGGTCTGTTTTGAGGTCTGCCAAATGTCTAATATCTATAGATAAGATTAAAAACAGGTTCTCTACCTGATAAAGTGTATTGGCCATAAAGTGAGTGAGGATCCATAAGTGAAAAGGCCATAAAGTGTATAGGATCCATAAGTGAAAAGGCCATAAAGTGAGTGAGGATCCATAAGTGAAAAGGCCAAACCTTCGGCACCAAATAGCCTAAACAACGAAAGTCTCTGTGGTCCTTGAGACCTCCACAAGGCCAGGTTATTAATACTATTTTGTCTTGCATTTGTCCACCTGTGCAGTACATAGGTCACTGTTTACAACATGAGGTAACTGAGTACAAGACACGTATGTATGTATGTACTGTATGTATGTTGGTATATACCGTATGTACTGTATGTATGTATGTACTGTATGTGTATATGTATGTATGTATTTCACCTATTTACTGCATATGCTCATTGCAATTCTAAAGCATTGTACACAAAAAATAGAGTCACTTACATTATCTACTGAGAACATAAGAAATAGCATTATAGTAGAACAGTGCACAAATGTAAACAATATACAGTACGTAACATTCATAGTACTGAAAATCTATGAATGCGGCTAAGCATACGGCTAAGACCAATTGGCTCCGGTCAGGTGAGCGGCGCTTTCAGCCCCAGGGGGAGAATTTTGGACGTTTCAGTTCACGGCCTTGATCTGTGTGTTCCTTTGAGGGATTTGCCACGAGAGAGGCAAAGTCTGTGATTCTGTGTTTGGGTGAGTAACTCGCAAAATTCGGCTTGCGTTTTAAGGGGGGGAGTGGCCGCTGGCACTGGGCCGCGCCTTCCCCGCTTCCCCCCCTCCTGTGCTGTGCTGCTGTTCTGCCCAGGCTCCGCCCCGCTGCATGGTGCGCTGGTTACGCGCGCTGCCTCCCAGTTCTGCTCCCTAGTTCTGAGATTGGGTCGCCCTCTCCACGTCTGGCCAATCCGTCGCTGCGGCTAATCAGCACTAGCCTTGAAAAAGAGTCTGCTCCTTCTGTGCGGGGCGGCTTGAATCAGTGTCTTGTCACCGTTCTGAGAGAACGTGTTTTCTGTGTGCGCTAAAGCTTAAGCTTAAGCTTAAGGTTGCCTGTGTGGCTCTGTGCTTGTGTTTATTTGAGAACCCTGTGTTTTTGTGTGTTTTATTTTGACTCTGACGCTGTCCAGTACAAACTGTTACCCCCTTTTGCCTGTTCTATTAAAAGGCCATCTAAATTACCATTTTTACATCTTGGTTTTATGTTATATCCCTCTTCCACTACGAGCTCAACTATAGGGTTGTAACATCTGTACATAAATTATTCCTATAGACATCCACGCCTTCCTGTCTGTCTGGCCACATATTTTCATCTACATCACAGCAGAGAGATCTTCAGGGGGGAAAAAAGGAATGAAATTAGCTTGACAGATTTTTGATTTTGAGAACTAGTTAAACAGTTGTGTGTGTGTAGTGACTAAAGCAATGAAATGAGAACTATTAGTTTTGTAGGGAATGACTATTCAGCCATTATAAGTATGTTTCATTTTGACTGACACAACAGAAGCAAATAAAAGTGTTATTAAACAGCAGAGAATTTTATGAAAGTAACTAATACATGTCTAAAAGCATTTGTAATTTGTTCAAAGGAGAAACTGCTACGATGATGTGCACAAATGACTCAATGTTGGTGAGGTTGAACTAATAGTTGTGAGAAGTAAGTTATGTTTATTTATATAGCTCATTTTACAACCCAAGATCACCCAAAGCACTTTACAATTGTTCAGAGTTCAGATATTTATTCCATTCTCTCCACACACGGTGATGATGGAAGCGAGTCGCCGAACACACTGGCGCATCAAAGCCCCAACCAACACCATTCATTACATTCATGCCTATTGTGCATGTTTTTAGTGGTAGGGGAAACCAGAGCACCCGGAGGAAACCTACGCAGACACGGGGAGAACATGCAAACTCCACTCAGAAAGGCCCGGTTCCCACCAGGATTCGAACCCACTCTTGCTGAGAAGCGAGAGTGCTATCGCTTCGTCGCCCAGAACTTTAAGTCTGATGTGAGAAATGCACCAAACCGACTGAGAAAAACTAAGTTCAGTTCAGTTCAATTTATTCTTGTTTAACCCTAAATCAAACAGTTCAAACACAAGCAATGCAATGATAAAAACACATAGAGCCATTGGTCCATAAAATCATCAAGAATGATTTCTCATAATCACAGACCCCTGGTGGCCGGAGAGTAGTTCTGCATGAACACAGTCTGAAATAATTCGAGCCAATATGACTAATGAGATGTTCATAATGAGCCAGAGAAATGTGATGAAAACAAATATTCTCAACTTGTGGTTTGTGAAGAAAAGTCTTTATGCGTATAATAATGGACATAGGTACAAACCTGAACAGCATCTGGTCGGTCGGCCCTTACATCATTTACAAAGCTTGCTTTTAAGCATCAGGGAGGGGTTAAAACGTTATCTTTAACTAATTCCCTTTTTGGGATAACACAGCTCAACTTGCGTTGACTTCAGCCAAATGTCACACATGTCGAGGCCGACTGATGTGTGTCTGTCTTGCTCTGCTTGAACCTGTGAATTCACGTCAGCAGCGCAACCTGATATTTTTGTGACTACGTCTGTGTCTGTATTTAGTTCTTTGAACATGCTCAAACAAAAACATACTAACAGTCCATAAGGGGCAGATGACCAATGTCCATAAATGTTGATAAATGTCAAGTGTCCTGGATCCTCACCACTGAGGGTTAAAGGAGGTGGATAGTTTTTAAGAGAAACAGTTGTACCTTGACAGTTGATGTTGCAGCCGTTTGCCCGGCTCACTCCTCCATCCAAGCACCAGTATTTACTGTTGATCTGGAAAAGGCCGTAGTCTGTGGAGCCATCCTTGTTTTTGTTCGTGGCTCGGGTGTTGTAGCCAGACTCGTTCTCAATCAGACACACCCCTGACCAAACAAAAGCAGTTTGACCACAATGATTAGTTCATTCATTCAAAGACATATCTAAATATCTACCCACCTTTCCATCCAATCTACCGTATATCCTTCTATCTGTCTACAGTTTCTATCTGGGGCGATACCCTTTTATCACAATACAATCACAACATTAAGATTAAGAGAGTTAGTTTATTATTGTTTGTCACATACACATGTACCTGTAGCAGATGTTCAGTACAGTATTGGGAACACATAATACTTAATTGGGACCAGTACGACGACAGCGAGCCTACCCAGCGACAGCTTTAGGTTATAAATGAACAATAACTTTACACTAAAATCATTTTTAAAAAGCTCTAACTTTAGCATAATAAAGTCGCAATTCTAAAATAATCCATCTTTAGCATTACGAAGAAACAATGATTAGCTTTAAAAACTATGACTTTAGAATAATAAAAAAAATATAAAATCTTTAGCACAATAAAGAAAAGCTTTTAAGATTTTAAGATTACTTTTCAACATTGCAGCCCTTTAAACGGAAATAAATCAGGTTAAATTTGTAAGTAATGACACAATACAATTTTGGACTGCTTTAAGTCCAAGTTTCATACTCACAATCTGCCAGGGAGACTCCAGGTTTTGCCGTGGCCATTCCGTTAGATTTCAAAGTTCGAGCCCATTGACATCTGGGAGTGTTATATTTGTTGTCCTGGGCGACAGCAGCACCGAGCACGACAAGAAAAACCAGAACCTGCATCTTCATCATAGCAGAACTGAACCAGGACTGAGATCAGAGAGAGCTGAGACAGAGACTGAACCAGACCTCAGACTAGAGCTGTATTTAAGCCCTCAGCTGGAAATCCCCACTTCTTACTTTCACTTCTGTTCTGAGAAACCGCAGCTTCAGCAAAACAAACAGGACTTGTGCAACAATAATATACTTTCATTTCAATTCAATGCATTCTTGTATAGCCCTAAATCACTACAGAAGTTATCTTGGAGGACTTTACACAAGCGTTGAATTTGCCAACACAGATCATAGAATCAAAAAATTCAACAAAAGAAATGATAACAAGAAATGATAAAAAACACATAGAGCTATTGGGGCAGGGACCAGTGTCCATAAATGTTGAGTTGAATGTTGAGTGTCCTGGAGCATCTCCACTAGTTGGTGGTGGGTGGTGGTTGGAGGGGCCGATGGAACATACTGTTTGCCTTGCTTCTGTTCCTTGTGCCCCAAGGCAGCTGTGGCTTCAATAGTAGTCTATCACCGAGACTGCCAGGTCTGGCCGGCTTCCTCCCCTGCCAGCGGATCCAACTCACGACCAGGTGATCGGTTGACAGCTCCGCCCCTCTCTTCACCCGAGTCATGCGGACGAAGGTCAGATGATACGACAACAAAGTCAATCATCGACCTCCGGCCTAGGGTGTCCTGGTGCCACGTGCACTGGTGGACACCCTTGTGCTCAAACATGGTGTTCGTGATGGACAAACTGTGACTAGCACAGAAGTCCAACAACTGAACACCGCTCGGGTTCAGATCAGGGGGGCCGTTCTTCCCGATCACCCCCCTCCAAGTGTCACTGGCATTTCCCACATGGGTGTTGAAGTTCAAGCCCAACGACATCTGGGAGTGTTATATTTGTTGTCCTGGGCTACAGCAGCACCGAGCACTACAAGAAAAACCAGAACCTGCATCTTCATTATGGCAGAACTGAACCAGGACTGAGACCAGAGAGAGCTGAGACCAGGACTGAGACCAGGACTGAGACCAGGACTGAGATCAGAGAGAGTTGAGACCAGGGCTGAACCAGACCTGAGACTAGAGCTGTATTTAAGCCCTCAGCTGGAAATCCCCACTTCTTACTTTCACTTCTGTTCTGAGAAACCGCAGCTTCAGCAAAACAAACAAGACTTGTGCAACAAAATTATACTTTCTCGTGCAGTCCTGGTATCTGAGTTCAATTCAATTGGATTCAATGCATTCTTGTATAGCCCTAAATCACTACAGTACTTGTCTTGGAGGACTTTACACAAGCGTTGAATTTGCCAACACAGATCATAGAATCAAACAGTTCAACACAATGATAAAAAACACATAGAGCTATTGGGGCAGGGACCAATGTCCATAAATATTGATAAATATTGAGTGTCCTGGAGCATCTCCACTAGTTGGTGGTTGGTGGTGGTTGGAGGGGCCGATGGCACATACTGGTTGCCTCGCTTCTGTTCCATGTGCCCCAAGGCAGCTGTGGCTTCAATAGTAGTCTATCACCAAGACTACCAGGTCTGGCCGGCTTCCTCCCCTGCCAGCGGATCCAACTCACGAGCAGGTGGTGATCGGTTGACAGCTCCGCCCCTCTCTTCACCCGAGTGTCCGAGACACGCGGCCGATGAGGTCAGATGAGACGACAACAAAGTCGATCATCGACCTCGGGCCTCGGGTGTCCTGGTGCCACGTGCACTGGTGGACACCCTTGTGCTTGAACATGGTGTCCGTGATGGACAAACTGTGACTGGCACAGAAGTCCAACAACTGAACACCGCTCGGGTTCAGATCACGGCCGTTCTTCCCGATCACCCCTCTCCAAGTGTCACTGGCATTTCCCACATGGGCGTTGAAGTCCCCCAGGAGAATAATGGAGTCCCCGGGCGGTGCACCGTCCAGTACCCCTCCCAAGGTACTCTGCACTGCCGTTAGGCCTGTAGGCCGTCACAACAATGAGAGACTTGTCCCCCACCCGGAGGCGGAGGGACGCGACCCTCTCATTCACCGGGGAAAACTCCAACACGTGGCGGCTGAGATGGGGGCAATGAGAATGGTCACCTTCGCTCGCCGCCTCTCCCCGCGAGAATCACCAGAAAAGTGGAGCGTCCAACCGGTCTCAAGGAGTTGGGTTCCAGAGCCCAAGCTGTGTGTGGAGGTGAGGCCGACTATCTCTAGTCGGTATCGCTCGACCTCCCCCACGAGCTCGGGCTCCCCCACGAGCTCGGGCTCCTTCCCCTGTGACAATGAAAACATTTGACTGTAGTTCATAAACACTGGTGTCCGGACTTATTATTTTGATGGCACAGACAGTTTCATTGACAGGAAGACTTGCTTTTGAGGAATTAACGTTTCATTTTGAGAAAGTGAGAAATGCACTTTCTGTTGTGAAAATGTGAAGAGTGATGTGAGAAACGCACCAAAGCAACTGAGAAAAACTGTAAGTTCACCTGTCAGCTCGATGAGTAAATATACATATTTGTTTTAACAGATTGGGATAAAACATTTTTTAACATATTTACCAGATATCACAGTATGATAGCTAGTTAGATAGATAGAGAAAGATAGATAAATACACAGAGAGATAGATAGATACACACATATATACATAGAAAGAGATATAGATAGATAGATACATACATACACACATTCATACTAAAACATTTAAGAATATATTTACCAAATCTCAGTTCAACAGATAGATGAATGGAACAAAAGCTAATATTGGAAAATTGGCTCCAGCTGTGACCAAGTTTAAAAACACCAACTACAAATGCTTCAAAAGTGTTTTTTATTGCAGAAGTTTACAGAAGGACATAGCAGGCAAAACAGATTCTCTACATGTTTTAAAGTTTGTATTTTCTAAAATAAAGAGCAGAAAGCAGGAATAGTTGTTCATAAAGGCTGTAAGTGATAATCAGTGTTGGAGAGAACTTTTAAAATGTATTTATTTACAGAATAAGACCCACTGCGTTCACATATTTGGTCTAATCACAGGACTGTATTAGAATCTTGTTTCTCCTGTTTTTAAACAAGTGTAAAAATGTAATTATACTTTGTTGTTGCCTTGTTTATTAATTTTTTCTTATGTGGGTTTAACAAGGGGTAAAACACATCCACACGCACAATAGGTCTGGCATTCGCCTCCTGTACTGGCCCCGCTCCCATCTCTGTGTGGATTGAGAGGACAAATGCTCAAAAATAACAATTGTAAACCGCTTTGTGACTCTGGTCTGAGAAAGGCTGTATATAAATAAAGACTACAAAGATTACACAAAAAGTTACGTTTGCCAATATCATCTATACTTTCCCAAATCAATTCTTTAGGCTTTTAGTAAAATAACTGTACCCTGAACGTCTTCCCACTACATGTATTACTGCCCAACCTTTTCTTTCTTGATTATAATCTGTCTACAGTTGTGAAATGGTCGTTCTTTTCTCGTCTAGACTCCACATCCATCCAGGAAGTGGCTCAGATCTCTGTCACAGTTTTTCACCCAGCCCACCCTGAAACAACACAAACACAAAACAGTATTTATATGTGGCAGAGTGGTTAGCCTGTCTTTAAAAAGAATAATGAAATCCATTTAATGTATTGACCGCTTAAACTTTTCACAAAATACTGACTACAAGATAATTATTTTCAGAATTTGTCAATCATTTATATGACAAGATTTTCCATTATGAAATATGGAACGAAGTCAAGTTTGGTCATATTTTCATCTTTAAAATTTGTATCTGTGCTAAACTCGACTGCACTTAGACGAATAGATGTACCTGCCAAGAGGCAAACATTTACACATTTACACCACCTCTGCTGCTGTGACTTTTAGAATTATGTGTTTATTTGTTTATTTGTTTTGTTTGGGTGCATGTGTTTCTGCTGCAATAAAGTATCTATCTATCTTTAAGCTCAATCATTTGTCGATGGTTTGGTCACATGACTCACCAGGCCCGGATGCCGTTGGGGTCCTGCACGACACGTTTGGCACATGAGACGGCCTCACCCAGTTGGAAAAGTTCTGAAACAAGAGAAAAAAAAAATTGAATCAGTTCCTCCAGCGGGTCCTGGGCCTCCTCCAGTGAAGTCTGTCTAAAACACCAGGAACACATCCAGGGGCATCTAGCTGGCTCTCTTGAAGTGAAAGAACAGCAACTCTACTCAGAGTCACCCATACTCTTAAGTTCAGTTCAATTCAATTTATTTTTTGCATAGCCCTGAATCACAACAGTAGTTATCTCGGAGGACACAACCGTTGAATTCGCCTACACAGATCAGAGAATCAAACTGTTCAAACACAAGAAATGCCATGATAAAAACACATACAGCTATAAAAGCATCAAGAATGAGGATTTCTCATAATCACAGACCCCCTGGTGCCGGAGAGTAGTTCTGCATGAACACAGTCCTTAGAAATCCGGAATAATCAGAGCCAATATGACTAGGATAATGATATGTACTGTACATAATGAGTCAGAGAAATGTGATGAAAACACATACTCTCAACTTGTGGTTTGTGAAGAAAAGTCTTTATGCGTATGATAATGGACATAGGTAACTCGAACAGCACATGCGATCCGTCTGGTCAGTCGGCCTTTACATCATTTACAAAGTTTACTTATATACTTTCTTCAAGCATCAGGGAGGGGATAAAACGGTAGGTGCTATGTGACCGCAGCATGTAGGCTTGAGCACGATTGCTTCAACCGTGCCCAGGCACGTTTGAAGACTCGGGCCAGAGCCCGCTTTAAAGCCCAGATAAGGTGGGTCAGTGTGGCGGGTGGTGGGGAGTGGGGGATGAGATGTGGAATAAATATTGTGCGTCACGTTACGTCTTCCTGTGACGCGCATTTTCACACACGTTTCTCCTGCACTTTCGTATTCTCCGCCTGTGTTATTCCCGCCTGGGAATAACTCTTTCTGTTCTGGCCCTCGCTCACAGTGATTGCAATAACATTTCAGACATTCAAGAATCAGTCTTTATTTAATCGCCAGAACACACCAACATTCACTTGTATCCTGCATGGCTCCGGTCACTCTGCTCGCACGCACACACACGCACACACCCATACGCACACACATGTTACCCACTGAACTGCTGCACTTTGCATCAGAGCAATGTGGACAAGTGTGAGATGTGTCTTTCCCTAAACGACGCGATCCGTACTCAAGTTGTTAGCTACAGTAGCAGAATGTAAACAGAAAGAGAAACGGAAACTATACTTGGACAACGAGTATACATCATTATACATCGTCGCTGTAGTTAGTATTAGCGCCACCAGCTGGACAGAACGTTGAACTACAGCAAAATTGCTCTGGCTCGATGGCGAAAACATGCATGTGACCGCGGGCCGTTTTCACACCCCTGTGGCTACGATCCGAGTCACTTGGCCTAATTTGTTTGTAAAAACCTATGTGACCGTGCCCTCTATCTTGTCCTCTAGATAGTTTTTAGGTGAAACAGTTGTACCTTGACAGTCGATGTTGCAGCCGTTGGCCCGGCTCACTCCTCCATCAAAGCACCAGTATTTACTGTTGATCTGGAATGTAGATTAAATCTCTACCACATTCATTTTAAACTTGTTACGACAAGTTTAGGAAAACTTGTTGCAAGACGTAGTCCCTCCAGCGGGTCCTGGGCCTCCTCCAGTGACGTCTGTCTAAAACACCAGGGCCACATCCAGGAGCATTTAGCTGGCTCTCTTGAAGTGAAAGAACAGCAACTCTACTCAGAGTTTAGTGATGAGCTCAGTCACTGAGCTCATCCCTAATCTTAAATTCCGTTCAATTACATGTATTCTTGTAAAACCCTGAATCCCAACAGTCGTTATCTCTGAGGACTTCACATATCCGTTGAATTTGCCGACACAGATCAGAGAATCAAACAGTTCAAACTCAAGGAATGAAATGATAAATACACATTGGTCCATAAAATCATCAAGAATGATTTCTCATAATCACAGACCCCTGGTGGCCGGAGAGTAGTTCTGCATGAACACAGTCTGAAATAATCAGAGCCAACACGACTAATGAGATGTTCATAATGAGTCAGAAAAATGTGATGAAAACAAATATTCTCAACTTGTGGTTTGTGAAGAATAGTTTTTATGGGTATAATAGTGGACATACTGTAGGTACGAACAGCGCATGCGATCCGTCCGGTCGGTCGGCCTTTACATCATTTACAGAGCTTGCTTATATTCTTTCTTCAAGCATTCTTATCTTTACAAATTCCCTTTTTGGGATAATACAGACTTGATTTTTTTGCGAATACATCTGTGTCTGTATTTCTTTGAACATGCTCAAACAAAAACATACTAACAGTCCGTAAGGGGCAGATGACCAATGTCCATAAATGTTGATAAATGTCAAGTGTCCTGGATCCTCACCAGTGAGGGTAAAAGAGGAATTAATCGACTGCTCGTGTCTCTATCTTCTCCTAGAAAGTTCTTAGGTGATAAAGTTGTACCTTGACAGTTGATATTGCAGCCGTTGGCCCTGCTCACTCCTCCATCCAAGCACCAGTATTTACTGTTGATCTGGAAAAGGCCGTAGTCTGTGGAGCCATCCTTGTTTTTGTTCGTGGCTCGGGTGTTGTAGCGAGACTCGTTCTCAATCAGACACACCCCTGACCAAACAAAAGCATTTGACCACAATGTTTAGTTTAATTCATTCAAAGACATATCTAAATATCTACCCACCTTTCCATCCAATCTATCGTATTTCCTTCTATCTGTCTATAGTTTCTATCTGTGGCAATACCCTTTTATCACAATACAATCACAATATTAAAATCTAGAGAGCTATTATTGTGTGGGGCGACAGTAGCTCAGTTGGTAGAGCATTGGTCTTTGGACCAAATGGTCGTGGGTTCGGTTCCCCCACGTCCCATGTCATCTGCTCCCTCTGATGTCTGCTGTCGTTGTGTCCCTGGGCAAGACACTTAACCTCACATTGTCTGAAGTCCCCACTGAAAGACCAAGGCTGTGTCTGCATTGAAGAAACAGCCATCATCCTGTGGCCCCACCACCTGCAGGAGGATCAGCGAGGGACTGGTGCATTGTGTATTGGGTGGCAACTCTGATTGCCACCCCCCTGACCCAGAAATGGAAATAAAAGGATGATGATGTATGTTTATTATTGTTTGTCACATACACATGTAACTCGACTGAACATACAGTACAGTATTGGGAACACATAATACATAATAGGGGCCAGTACGACGGCAGCGAGCCTACCCAGCGACAGCTTTAGGTTGATTATTTGCATCACAAGTCACAGAAAAGTAGGAATAAGGAGCACATAACACAAAATAAATGAACAATAACAAAACAAAACCTCTACCTTTAGGATGATAAAGAAGCTATTCTAAAAACTCCATCTTAGTTTAATGAAGAAACAGGAAAAGGAATAAAAACCATGACATTAGAAAAATAAAGAAGTAAAACATCCTTTAACTTAAGCAGAGTAAATAAAAGCTTAGTATCAAAAGGATTTTAAGATTACTTTTCAACATTGCAGTCCTTCCAATGGAAATAAATCAGGTTAAATTTGTAAATAATGGGACAATACAATTTTGCACTGCTTTAAGTCCAGGTTTCATAATCACAATCTGCCAGGGAGACTCCAGGTTTTGCGGTGGCCATTTCGTACAATTTCAAAGTTCGAGCCCATTGACATCTGACAGAGTTATATTTGTCCTGGGCTACAGCAGCACCGAGCACTACAAGAAAAATCAGAACCTGCATCTTCATTATGGCAGAACTGAACCAGGACTGAGACCAGAGAGAGCTGAGACCAGGACTGAGATCAGGACTGAGACCAGGACTGAGATCAGAGAGAGTTGAGACCAGGACTGAACCAGACCTGAGACTAGAGCTGTATTTAAGCCCTCAGCTGGAAATCCCCACTTCTTACTTTCACTTCTGTTCTGAGAAACCGCAGCTTCAGCAAAACAAACAAGACTTGTCCAACAAAATTATACTTTCTCGTGCAGTCCTGGTATCTGAGTTCAATTCAATTGGATTCAATGCGTTCTTGTATAGCCCTAAATCACTACAGTACTTGTCTTGGAGGACTTTACACAAGCGTTGAATTTGCCAACACAGATCATAGAATCAAACAGTTCAACACAATGATAAAAAACACATAGAGCTATTGGGGCAGGGACCAATGTCCATAAATATTGATAAATGTTGAGTGTCCTGGAGCATCTCCACTAGTTGGTGGTTGGTGGTGGTAGGAGGGGCCGATGGCACATACTGGTTGCCTCGCTTCTGTTCCATGTGCCCCAAGGCAGCTGTGGCTTCAATAGTAGTCTATCACCGAGACTGCCAGGTCTGGCTGGCTTCCTCCCCTGCCAGCGGGTCCAACTCACGAGCAGGTGATGATCGGTTGACAGCTCCGCCCCTCTCTTCACCCGAGTGTCCGAGACACGCGGCCGATGAGGTCAGATGAGACGACAACAAAGTCGATCATCGACCTCGGGCCTCGGGTGTCCTTGTGCCACGTGCACTGGTGGACACCCTTGTGCTTGAACATGGTGTTCGTGATGGACAAACTGTGACTGGCACAGAAGTCCAACAACTGAACACCGCTCGGGTTCAGATCACGGCCGTTCTTCCCGATCACCCCTCTCCAAGTGTCACTGGCATTTCCCACATGGGCGTTGAAGTCCCCCAGGAGAATAATGGAGTCCCCGGGCGGTGCACCGTCCAGTACCCCTCCCAAGGTACTCTGCACTGCTGTTAGGCCCGTAGGCCGTCACAACAATGAGAGACTTGTCCCCCACCCGGAGGCGGAGGGACGCGACCCTCTCATTCACCGGGGAGAACTCCAACACGTGGCGGCTGAGATGGGGGCAATGAGAATGGTCACCTTCGCTCGCCGCCTCTCCCCGCGAGAATCACCAGAAAAGTGGAGCGTCCAACCGGTCTCAAGGAGTTGGGTTCCAGAGCCCAAGCTGTGTGTGGAGGTGAGGCCGACTATCTCTAGTCGGTATCGCTCAACCTCCCCCACGAGCTCGGGCTCCTTCCCTTGTGACAATGAAAACATTTGACTGTAGTTCATAAATACTGGTGTCCGGACTTATTATTTTGATGGCACAGACAGTTTCATTGACAGGAAGACTTGCTTTTGAGGAATTAACGTTTCATTTTGAGAAAGTGAGAAATGCACTTTCTGTTGTGAAAATGTGAAGAGTGATGTGAGAAACGCACCAAAGCAACTGAGAAAAACTGTAAGTTCACCTGTCAGCTCGATGAGTAAATATACATATTTGTTTTAACAGATTGGGATAAAAAAATGTTTAACATATTTACCAGATATCACAGTATGATAGCTAGTTAGATAGATAGAGAAAGATAGATAAATACACAGAGAGATAGATAGATACACAGATATATACATAGAAAGAGATATAGATAGATAGATACATACATACACACATTCATACTAAAACATTTAAGAATATATTTACCAAATCTCGGTTCAACAGATAGATGAATGGAACAAAAGCTAATATTAGAAAATTGGCTCCAGCTGTGACCAAGTTTAAAAACACCAACTACAAATGCTTCAAAAGTGTTTTTTATTGCAGAAGTTTACAGAAGGACATAGCAGGCAAAACAGATTCTCTACATGTTTTAAAGTTTGTATTTTCTAAAATAAAGAGCAGAAAGCAGGAATAGTTGTTCATAAAGGCTGTAAGTGATAATCAGTGTTGGAGAGAACTTTTAAAATGTATTTATTTACAGAATAAGACCCACTGCGTTCACATATTTGGTCTAATCACAGGACTGTATTAGAATCTTGTTTCTCCTGTTTTTAAACAAGTGTAAAAATGCAATTATTCTTTGTTGTTGCCTTGTTTATTAATTTTTTCTTATGTGGGTTTAACAAGGGGTAAAACACATCCACACGCACAATAGGTCTGGCATTCGCCTCCTGTACTGGCCCCGCTCCCATCTCTGTGTGGATTGAGAGGACAAATGCTCAAAAATAACAATTGTAAACCGCTTTGTGACTCTGGTCTGAGAAAGGCTGTATATAAATAAAGACTACAAAGATTACACAAAAAGTTACGTTTGCCAATATCATCTATACTTTCCCAAATCAATTCTTTAGGCTTTTAGTAAAATAACTGTACCCTGAACGTCTTCCCACTACATGTATTACTGCCCAACCTTTTCTTTCTTGATTATAATCTGTCTACAGTTGTGAAATGGTCGTTCTTTTCTCGTCTAGACTCCACATCCATCCAGGAAGTGGCTCAGATCTCTGTCACAGTTTTTCACCCAGCCCACCCTGAAACAACACAAACACAAAACAGTATTTATATGTGGCAGAGTGGTTAGCCTGTCTTTAAAAAGAATAATGAAATCCATTTAATGTATTGACCGCTTAAACTTTTCACAAAATACTGACTACAAGATAATTATTTTCAGAATTTGTCAATCATTTATATGACAAGATTTTCCATTATGAAATATGGAACGAAGTCAAGTTTGGTCATATTTTCATCTTTAAAATTTGTATCTGTGCTAAACTCGACTGCACTTAGACGAATAGATGTACCTGCCAAGAGGCAAACATTTACACATTTACACCACCTCTGCTGCTGTGACTTTTAGAATTATGTGTTTATTTGTTTATTTGTTTTGTTTGGGTGCATGTGTTTCTGCTGCAATAAAGTATCTATCTATCTTTAAGCTCAATCATTTGTCGATGGTTTGGTCACATGACTCACCAGGCCCGGATGCCGTTGGGGTCCTGCACGACACGTTTGGCACATGAGACGGCCTCACCCAGTTGGAAAAGTTCTGAAACAAGAGAAAAAAAAAATTGAATCAGTTCCTCCAGCGGGTCCTGGGCCTCCTCCAGTGAAGTCTGTCTAAAACACCAGGAACACATCCAGGGGCATCTAGCTGGCTCTCTTGAAGTGAAAGAACAGCAACTCTACTCAGAGTCACCCATACTCTTAAGTTCAGTTCAATTAAATTTATTTTTTGCATAGCCCTGAATCACAACAGTAGTTATCTCGGAGGACACAACCGTTGAATTCGCCTACACAGATCAGAGAATCAAACTGTTCAAACACAAGAAATGCCATGATAAAAACACATACAGCTATAAAAGCATCAAGAATGAGGATTTCTCATAATCACAGACCCCCTGGTGCCGGAGAGTAGTTCTGCATGAACACAGTCCTTAGAAATCCGGAATAATCAGAGCCAATATGACTAGGATAATGATATGTACTGTACATAATGAGTCAGAGAAATGTGATGAAAACACATACTCTCAACTTGTGGTTTGTGAAGAAAAGTCTTTATGCGTATGATAATGGACATAGGTAACTCGAACAGCACATGCGATCCGTCTGGTCAGTCGGCCTTTACATCATTTACAAAGTTTACTTATATACTTTCTTCAAGCATCAGGGAGGGGATAAAACGGTAGGTGCTATGTGACCGCAGCATGTAGGCTTGAGCACGATTGCTTCAACCGTGCCCAGGCACGTTTGAAGACTCGGGCCAGAGCCCGCTTTAAAGCCCAGATAAGGTGGGTCAGTGTGGCGGGTGGTGGGGAGTGGGGGATGAGATGTGGAATAAATATTGTGCGTCACGTTACGTCTTCCTGTGACGCGCATTTTCACACACGTTTCTCCTGCACTTTCGTATTCTCCGCCTGTGTTATTCCCGCCTGGGAATAACTCTTTCTGTTCTGGCCCTCGCTCACAGTGATTGCAATAACATTTCAGACATTCAAGAATCAGTCTTTATTTAATCGCCAGAACACACCAACATTCACTTGTATCCTGCATGGCTCCGGTCACTCTGCTCGCACGCACACACACGCACACACCCATACGCACACACATGTTACCCACTGAACTGCTGCACTTTGCATCAGAGCAATGTGGACAAGTGTGAGATGTGTCTTTCCCTAAACGACGCGATCCGTACTCAAGTTGTTAGCTACAGTAGCAGAATGTAAACAGAAAGAGAAACGGAAACTATACTTGGACAACGAGTATACATCATTATACATCGTCGCTGTAGTTAGTATTAGCGCCACCAGCTGGACAGAACGTTGAACTACAGCAAAATTGCTCTGGCTCGATGGCGAAAACATGCATGTGACCGCGGGCCGTTTTCACACCCCTGTGGCTACGATCCGAGTCACTTGGCCTAATTTGTTTGTAAAAACCTATGTGACCGTGCCCTCTATCTTGTCCTCTAGATAGTTTTTAGGTGAAACAGTTGTACCTTGACAGTCGATGTTGCAGCCGTTGGCCCGGCTCACTCCTCCATCAAAGCACCAGTATTTACTGTTGATCTGGAAAAGGCCGTAGTCTGTGGAGCCATCCTTGTTTTTGTTCGTGGCTCGGGGGTTGTAGCCAGACTCGTTCTCAATCAGACACACCCCTGACCAAACAAAAGCAGTTTGACCACAATGATTAGTTCATTCATTCAAATACATATCTAAATATCTACCCACCTTTCCATCCAATCTACCGTATATCCTTCTATCTGTCTACAGTTTCTATCTGGGGCGATACCCTTTTATCACAATACAATCACAACATTAAGATTAAGAGAGTTAGTTTATTATTGTTTGTCACATACACATGTACCTGTAGCAGATGTTCAGTACAGTCTTGGGAACACATAATACTTAATTACGACGGCAGCGAGCCTACCCAGCGACAGCTTTAGGTTATAAATGAACAATAACTTTACACTAAAATAATTTTTAAAAAGCTCTAACTTTAGCATACTGAAGAAGCAATTCTAAATACTCCATCTTTAGCATTACGAAGAAACAATAATTAGGTATAAAAACTATGACTTTAGAAGAATAAAGAAGCATAAAATCTTTAGCACAATAAAGAAAAGCTTTGTATCATAAGGACTTTTCAACATTGCAGTCCTTAAAATGGAAATAAATTGGGTTAAATTTGTAAGTAATGACATAATACAATTTTGCACTGCTTTAAGTCCAAGTTTCATACTCACAATCTGCCAGGGAGACTCCAGGTTTTGCGGTGGCCATTCCGTAAATATTCAAAGTTCGAGCCCAATGACATCTGGGAGTGTCAAGTTTGTGCAGGGCGACAGCAGCACCGAGCACGACAAGAAAAACCAGAACCTGCATCTTCATCATAGCAGAACTGAACCAGGACTGGGCCCAGAGAGAGCTGAGACAAGGACTGAGACCACGACTGAGACCAGGACTGAGACCAGGATTGAGACCAGGACTGGGACTAGTATTGAGACCGGGACTGAGACCAGAGAGAGCTGAGACCAGGACTGAACCAGACCTGAGACTAGAGCTCTATTTAAGCCCTCAGCTGGAAACCCCCACTTCTTACTTTCACTTCTGTTCTGAGAAACCGCAGCTTCAGCAAAACAAACAGGACTTATGTAACAATATGCTTTCTCTTGCCGTCCTGGTGTCTGAACAGTTCAACACAATGATAAAAAACACATAGAGTCATTGGTCCAAAAGGGGCAGGGACCAATGTCCATAAAAGTTGATAAATGTCCATGAATGTTGAGTGTCCTGGAGTGTCCACAGCTTGGTGGTTGGTGGTGGTGGGAGGGGCCGATGGCACATACTGGTTGCCTCACGTCCATGTGCCCCAGGGCAGCTGTGGCTGCAATAGTAGTCAAGGGTCAAAGGTCAGATGATACAACAAGATAGATACACAGATAGATAGATAGATATGGATATATAGATAGATAGAAAGAAATATATTTACCAAATCTCAGTTCAACAGATAGATGGATGGAACAAAAACTAATATTAGAAAATTGGCTCCGGCTATGACCAGGTTTTAATAACACCAACTACAAATGCTTCAAAAGTGTTTTTATTGCAGTTTACAGAAGGACATAGGAGGCAAAACATATTCTCTATATGTTTTAAAGCTTGTATTTTCTAAAAGAAAGAGCAGAAAGCAAGAATAATTGTTCACAAAGGCTGTAAGTGATAATCAGTGTTGGGGAGAACTTTTAAAATGTATTTATTTACAGAATAAGGACTACTGCGTTCTCATATATTGGTCCAATCACAGGACTGTATTAGAATATTCTCCTGTTTTTAAACAAGTGTAAAAATGCAATTACACTTTGTTGTTGCCCTGTTTGATTCATTTTTCTTATTGTGAATTTAACAAGGGGTAAAACACATCTAAAAGTTACATTTATCATCTGACTACTTTCACTAATCAATTCTTTAGGCTTAAGAAAAGTAACTATGTTCTGAATGTATTACATGTATTACTCCCCAACACTGTTTACGAAAAGAGCTTTTTATCTTAATGCTTTTATTTCTGGATTATGATGTGTGAAATGGGCGAGCATTTCTCGTCTAGACTTCACATCCATCCAGGAAGTTGCTCAGATCTCTGTCACAGTGATCCACCCAGGCCATCCTGAAACGACAAACACAAAACACTATTTCTGTGGCTGTGGCAGAGTGGTTAGCCTGTGTTTCAAAATAATTATGAAATCAACAAAGTCATTTAAATGTATTAACCCATATATTTAAAATGTGTATAGTAGAGTTTGACTTGAGTTTTCACCAAATACTGATTATAATCTTTAAGAATTTGTCATTTATAAGAGAAGATTTTTCATAATTGAAATATGGAATGAAGTCTTGTTTGGTCATGTTTTAATCTTGTAAAACTCGAACGCACTGAGAATATAGAGACACAAAACACTTGAACACAAAAATTGGACTGAGCTGCCTCGATTAGATATATACCTGCTAGAGGCAAACATTTACACGTTTACACCACCTCTGCTGCTGTGACCTAATGTGCTGTTGCATTTTAATAGTTGTTAGCTACTTTTAGAATGATGTATACATTTGTTTTGTTTGTTTGGGTGCATGTGTTTCTGCTGCAATAAAGTATCTATCTATCTATCTTTAAGCTCAATCTTTTTCGACGGTTTGGTCACATGACTCACCAGGCACGGATGCCGTTGCGGTCCTGCACGACACGTTTGGCACATGAAACGGCAGCGTCCACTTCGTACAGTTCTGAGACAGTAAAAAATATGTATTAAATCTCATTGTATATCACATTCAATATTAAACTTGTTAAGACAAGTAGAAGACAGGAAATACTGGGTTGAGATAGGAATTCATGTCTCAGATCATATGGCCCTGACCTGTGCAGTACCACAGGGGTCGATCCTGGGACCTCTTCTGTTCAATCTCTACATGCTGCCGTTAGGTCAGTTAATACGCAGAAACAAAGTGTCCTATGATAACTATGCAGACGACACTCAGATCTATGTCTCACTGACTGCAGGAGAACATGGACCAGTGGACTCACTCCTTCACTGTATCCAACAGATCAGTGAGTGGATGCAAAACAACTTCCTTCAGCTTAGGACTGGGCGATATGGCAAAAAAGTAAAATCTCGATTGTATTTCCTGCTTTGGACGATTTAGATTTTAAATTGGTTTTCATTAAAGTCACCGAAGACAGACTTTGCCCTTAAAAATATGTTTTGATCTTTCAGCTCAATATTCAAGTTTCAAAACTATTCTTAATTTGTTTCCCCAATGGGTATTATAAAAGTCTAGTACAGACTGGGCTGATATTGCAAGTATAATCCATGTGTTGCTGGAATTCTCACAATATGCTTCATTCGATTTCACAATTTTCACATTTTTCACAAATTAGATTTTTTCAAAAGCCGATTAATTGCCAAAATCCGATTTATTGCCCAGCCCTACTTCAGCTAAACGCAGACAAAACTGAAATGATTGTCTTTGGTCCCCAGAAACAAAGAGAGAGTGTCATCTGTGACCTCGAGTCTCTCTCACTGGAACCTTTAGGTGAGGTCAGAAACCTAGAGGTAATAATGAACTCTGACCTCATTTTTAACAGGCACATACAATAGTAACATCAGCAGATTTTTAGCATCTAAAAAACATTGCCGGAATTAGAGACATAGTGTCTAAAGCAGATTCTTATCCATGCATTTGTCTCCAGTAGGTTAGAATAGCAATGATTAAAAAAACACATCCACTGCAAAAAAGAACAAAATATGAGGTGATAATTGGTAATCAGGTGGTTTTAATCTAAATGTTGAGTACATTTTGACTGTGTTAAAACGAGATGCCATTTAGTCTTGTTTAAAGAACTGTTGCTTTATTTTCTCATTCCAGGGGAGACATGTTCTTGTCCTTATGGCAAATCTTGTTTTGAGGCAGTCAAAAAGTGCTCAAATGAAGATACATTTGGCCACATTAAAGCAATTTTTGACTTGTGTGGAGTGTCCTGGATCATCACCACTGAGGTTAAAGGAGGAACTCATCGACTTTTTTAGGTGAAACAGTAGTACCTTCACAGTTGATGTTGCAGCCGTTGGCCGTGTTCACTCCTCCATCAATGCACCAGTAATAACTGTTGATCTGGAAAAGGCCGTAGTCTTTAGAGCCGTTCCTGTTGCGGGAGTTCAAGGCGTTGGTGTTGAAGCTAGACTCATTTTCAACCAGACACACCCCTGACGAAAGAACAGCAGTTTCAGAAATAAATTCAGTAGAATATATATAATCTAATCTAGCCACCTATCCACCGGTCTATAATTTATACCTGTGGCGATACCCTTTTGTCACAATAGACCCGCAATATTAACCCAAAGACATGCTTTATTCGTCCCATAGTGGGGATATTTCAGTGATGCATCACCAGTTACGGAAAATAACTCTATACTTAAATAAAGTCTCTAACTTTAGCATAACACAGAAGCACGTACAAAATCTCTTGTTTTTGCGTGATGAGGAAGCAGGTCTAAAATCTCCAACTTGAAGAAGCAATAATGAAGTATAAATCTTTGTATCATAGAGATTTCAAGATTACTTTTCAACGTTGCAGCACTTCCGATAAATCAGGGTTATATTTATAAATAATGATATATTTTTGCGCTGCTTTGAGGCTGTGTTTGGACCGCCGATGCATGGACGTGTGTAGATGGAGGCATAGGCGGATGTTCACTAAATATCAGTTGCATGATATTAGTCAATCTGCCGTACTGTCCTGCGTTGGGGAAAAACGCAGGGCGGAAGTGGTGGGCGAGCTTTAATCCTAACGAGTGACTCCCGTATCGGCGAACATGTTAGCAGCACTTGTTTACAGTCACAGTAGAATGTCAGCCCTGGTTTAATCCTGGTTTAACTCATGTTTTGGTTGTTTTTGAGTGTCTGTTTTTGAGTGTCTGTTTCTGACCGGCGTGTATCCCCGTGACCATTTAGCCGCTCTCTGATTGGTTGCCGCATCTGTGTGGAGTGAGGATGTTCATCACCTGCTTTAGCTTCATGCATCTAGCCGCTGTACCCACCGTTTCTGCCTTGCTGCAACGTCCATGCAATTCTTTGCATGGAGGAACGTCACCATAGACTTTGCATTAAAACTGTACTTTTTAATTGCCACTTTTTATTGTACATAATATATCCTGTATTTAACAAGTTTGCACATTTTTCTCTTTTGCACAATCTTGAGTGATTCTATCCCTGCCAGATGTAACATGTACATTTCTCCTGTGTGAGATCAATAAAGTCTATCTTATCTTATCTTCAAACGCGCTGCAACCCATGATCCGGTTTGAACACTTAAGTCCTGGTTTCATACTCACAATCTGCCAGGGAGACTCCAGTTTCTGCGATGTCCATTCCGTAAGATTTCAAAGTTCGAGCCCATTGACATCTGAGAGTGTAATATTTTCTGTCCCGAGCGACAGCAGCACCGAGCACGACAAGAAAAACCAGAACCTGAATCTTCATCATTGCAGAACTGAACCAGGACTGAGATCAGAGTGAGCTTAGACTAGGACTGAGACTGGTAATGAGACAAGGATTGAGACCAGGACTGAGACCAGGACTGAGACACTGAACCAGACCTGAGACTAGAGCTGTTTTTAAGCCCCCAGCTGGAAACCCCCACTTATTACTTTCACTTCTGCTCTGAGAAACTGCAGCTTCAGCAAAACAAACAGGACTTATTTAACAATTTTATAATTTCTCGTGCAGTCCTGGTATCCAGAGCTTTAAGTGGGCCGTAATGAGCAGGTACACAGTACCGGCGCTTCCAAAAAAAGGTTTTGAGTGCACCGCCACCACTCCGTGCACCAACAACGTGCTTTTGCCGTACCGATACTTAATTTGCACATTTAATACAGATGCTCTGCTGCTTTTCAGAGCACCCTTCAAGCTTGCTACTTTGTCTCACCGAGAGCAGAGACAACATTACCATGTATCTATAGTGCTATCACACAGCAATGTGGTTTCACAGGAGCAGTTGACTGCTTAAACCAAACTTTACACAAAACTTTGATTCTTAAAACCCCCATATAACAAGATGGAACCATCAATATCTCGCCTCAAATTGTATCAAAAGTTACATTTGAGTCTTTATTCGTTCGTATTTAAACTTTTTACACAACTCACGGACTTCATGTCCGCGTTCTTGGTTTGCTTCGGCTGCCGTGAGAAGCGCATGCGCAGGTTTGCATTACATCATTAACAGCTTAGGGAGATCATCTCGATGGGCAGACCAGCTCGACAGAACACCGGCCCTGGCTCCCACTGTGTGGTCTATGGAGAAGTGTAGAGGACAGTACGGCCTAGAGAACTGATGTAGGGCAACAGAAATCCAATGTCTGTGTCCTCACGGTTTCTGTGGGCTGGTGTCGTCAGACCATAGACAGTAAATATTAAGACGCAAGACTTAATCAAAGAAAAAAACGTCCAGAATCACTGTCAAACCTGTCAGTCCTCCTGGTTAAATACAAGCGCCCGTGTGTGTGGATCTAATGTCAACGACCTTTTGTTCAACATTATTTCGCTACCATTTTGCATTTTTAGTTTATTTCAGTAGCTCTTTCTAGTGCATGCATATCCCTAAATGAATGTATATAATTGATAGATTTTCTTTAAGGTTGTCTGTTGACATTTGTAAATAAAACTTCAGGGAAAAATAAGTCTGTTATCTTGCATTAAAAACATGCAAACATTCTCCTGGACGAAAAAAAGAAAGAGTACCGACACTTTTTTGGGGCTAGTTAAAGCACTGCTGGTATCTGAGTTCAATTCAATTCAATTCAATACATTCCTGTATAGCCCTAAATCACTGCAGTAGTTGTCTTGGAGACAATGGCTCAGTTGGTAGAGCATTGGCCTTAAAGCCGGAAGGATGTGGGTTCGAGCCACCGACTCTCACTGATGTCATTGTGTCCTTGGGCAACACACTTAACCCCACTTTGCCTGAAGCCCCCACTGAACGACCAAGGCTATGCTCTCACAGACAGAGCAGCGATCCTCCTGTGGTACTTTGTGAATTGGGTGCAGCATTGACTGACAGTGGGTTGGACGCTCCACTTTTCTGGTGTTTCTCGTGGGGACAGGCATCGAGCGGGGGTGGCCATTCTCATTGCCCCCCATCTCAGCCGCCACGTGTTGGAGTTCTTCCCGGTAAATGAGAGGGTCGCGTCCCTCCGCCTCGGGGTGGGGAACAAGTGTTCCCCACTGTTGTGACGGTCTACGGGCCAAACAACAGTGCAGTGCCCAGATGTCTGTGTTGTCTAAGGGATTAACATTTGCACCGACCAATAAAACAAAGGAATTTCAAACTAAAGTCGACTTGTTTAAATTTCATCGTCACCTCCAATTAAAAATGTGGTACCATTGTAACCCTGGTCAAGCTGCCACCCGTTCAGGAGAATATCAGAATAAAAGTCAAGTGTTCAGACCAAAGTCTACCTTCACCCCTAATGTGTATAATCAAACACTCAACACATTCTACAAAAAAGTTACATTTGAAGTAGACAATATTTTTTCTTCAAGAAAGAAGAACACATATAATATGACTTATGAAGAGAAGAAGGCACTAGAAGAACTTTCTGAAAATGAGAACATTGTCATCAAACGAGCTGACAAAGGTGGAGCTGTGGTGGTGTGGGGAAGAGAGCAGTACATCAACGAAGCCAAACGGCAGTTAACCAACAGAGAGTACTATGTTCCTTTACAGTCTAACCCCATGGACTGGCTGACAAAAGAACTTACTTGTATACTTTTGGATGCTAAAGAAAACAATTGGATTACACAGAATGAGCATGATTTTCTACTTTGTAAGAACCTACGCATACCATCCTTCTATATGCTCCCTTTGACTGCTCCCTTTGACTGAACCCTTGTCTAAATACATCGATTTTCACATCAAACACTTAGAGAGTTAAAGAGTTTGCCTTCCTTCATTCAAGATAGCACACAAGTCCTAAACAAAATGAAAAGGATCAAAAATATTGGACATGGCTATCTTGCAACTATGGATGTAGAGTCTTTATACTCTAACATCGACCATGAAGACGGAATATCGGCACTGAAACATTACCTTTCAACAAGACCTCCAGAAACACTCCCCCCTGCTGACCTTTTGCTAGAATTGACAGAATGGACATTAAAGAACAATGTATTTCTTTTTCAGCAACAATTGTATAGACAACAAAAAGGCACTGCCATGGGAGCCTGCTTTGCACCAAATTATGCAAATCTCTATATGGGATTTTGGGAAGAGAAATACGTGTTTTCAACGGACACCCAATATAAAGACAAAATATTGTGGTGGGGTCGGTATATTGATGATGTTCTACTTTTAGAATTCCATACTTATTTGAACACCAGCAATATCAATGTCAAACTCAGTCTAGATTATTCAATCAATCAATCAATCAATCAAAGTTTATTTGTAGAGCGCCTTTCATACACATGGCAACACAAAGCGCTATTCACTAACAGAAATACATTTTCTAGATTTGAAAATATACAAAGACAGTTATGGGGATCTACATAGCACAATCTTTAGAAAACCTTCAGATAAGTATACTATACTTAAAGCAGCTTCCATCCTCCATGGCTGTTACAAAATATACCAGTTGGTCAATTTCAAAGACTACGGAGAATCTGTGACACAGACCAAAACTTTGAGGAAAATGCCGAAGAAATGAAAAGGAGATTCAAGAACAGAGGGTACACCCCCAGCACCATAGATTCAGCCTACAGTACAACAGAGCAAAACATCAGAATCGAGAACAACTGCTAATACAGAAAACAAAGTCAAATGACTGTTCTAACCAGGTCTACTTTGTAACTGAATTTGGCAAAGAAGCCAATAAAATAAAACAAATAATCAACAGGAATTGGAGCATCTTAAAAAGCGACAGTACATTGAGAGAGGCCCTCCCAGATTCACCAACAGTAAGTTTTAGAAAAGCCCCAACACTTGGAAATAAACTGGTGAACAGCTACCTTCCACCCCTTAAATCAAATACATGGCTGAACACTCAAAGTGGCTGTTATAGATGTGGAAACTGTACATACTGCGACCATATTCAGCGTACTAATCACTTTATGGAAGTTTCATCTGTACAAACTTTCACCATCAAAACAATCATCAATTGCAATACTACCTTTGTAGTTTATAGACTTGAGTGTCCCTGCGGCCGACCATTGATAATATTTCTTATATATTGTATTATTTATAGGTGTGTATATAATATTTTGCACTTTGTTTGGGAGTTTCAATATTTTTTCCAGATTTTAAACCTTGTGACTGTAGGCCCGCCCACTGACCATGTGACAAGCACCATTCTCTTTAAATCTGTACTGAGACACTCCTCTCAAGTATGCCCTGAAAAAGGCCGGAAGGCTGAAGCGCGTAGGCGTAATTTTAACCTCTTTTTGCCATGTCAAATAAAGGCTTTTAATGATTTTTGTAACTTTTGAGTGCCTCAGTCTTCTGTCTGAACAGTGCAGAGTACTCGGCCTTCTTGTGCCGCTTTTCCACAGTAACGGCACTGCACGGCACTGCACGGTTAGTTGGCTTTTGGGCTTGGGATCGGGGGTACTTTTTTTGTACCAACTCAACTGTGGTTCCATCCGCTCCAAAGCGATACCATGAGGTGACGTCAGCTGACTGCCTTACACTGATTGGTCAACGAGTGTCGTCACTGGAAGCGACGTCTGACCCTATGGTAAAAACAACTCAACCCCGCCATCTTTAAAACCAGCTGCTCTACTTCAATACGTCCTCCCATGAATCTATTATAATAATGTACTTCTCACTCCAGAGAAATGGAATCGCACAAAAAGCCCCAATAGGTCCTGGTCGGTGGACGAGGTCCACACGTTACTCTCTTTAGCGCACAACACGGAACGGGAAGGGAGATCGCCTTGCTCTTAATGTGTGACTAGTCTGAGAGCGCAGTGATATCGTATTCAACGTCAATACTTTTTGCACTAAACTTACAGGTATAAGGCAACAACAGCACAGAGACCGAAACTGGTGACTAAAATTCAACAACCAAATGTTGATGAAAAGCTGAACTAGCATCATCAATGGTTAGTGTTTGACTAATCGATCCATACCGTTTCAACAACAAAAGCAACTCTTCATCAGCCTTTGTGTCAGTAACACTGTTAACGAGGACGGAATGCGAAAATTCAACGCCCAGTTTATCGAATTCTTCAATAGTGGAATTGTTATTGTCTATTACTATGCCACAACCTCCTGGCTAGCTCGCCACAATTTATGTAGCACTCACTGCTAATTAAATGCCACTTAAGCGGTATGGGCTAAGTACAAGTTAAGAATAGTAAAGACTGGACTAGCATCAGGA